CTCTACACACTTCCTCGCAGCTGACGTCATGTTGCTTCCCTAACAAGTCTCAGATGACTGGCGGCTTCATTTTTTGTGTGTCAAGTGTCAACAACTGGTTGCACAAAACGCATTATAATAAAGTGTTTTTTAACCCAGTTCGGAATGAGTTATGTGAAGCTCAGAAGAGTAGCCAAACTGGGATGCGGGCCAAGGATTTACGGGTTAACACTCATCCTGATTTAGTTCTTATTGAAATTCGATAAACATGATTTTGAAATGAGTGGCGAATAGCTATTACTATTACTTGATTTATGTCAGACACGATTCCGATGCACCTCGATTGGTGTTAACGGAAAAAGATGGGATATTTGCTTGCTCGGGTGATGGAGAGGGTGTGCTCAGGGTGTGCTCAGTGGTCAGTGTACGTGCGATGTACCATTCATTTGTTGACGTTGACAGGACATCCGACTATCTGTGAAGGGTCGATTGTATACTACAGAAATTCGGCCAGTTCTGCTATATGGAGTAGAAACTTGGCCATTAAGAAAACAGGGCAAAGATAGACTGTCGGTATTCAAACATCGCTCTCTACGCAGCATTGCACGAATCTGGTGGGACGAGCAATGCTTAGGTTAGGAGTAGAGTTTCAGGCATTCGCTGTCGCCCACTGGAGCAAGTGGTTGACCTCCATAGATTAAGTTGGTTGGGGCATGTGTTACGCATGTCGCCACGGCGAGCGATGTTTGCCGAGGCAGGTGGTGGCTGGGAAAAAAACCAAGGGTGGTCAACCTGAGACCTGGTACGAGGGTATGAAAACTCTAACCAGGAGACTAGGTCACAGGTCCCGTTTGGCCCCCTGGCTGGGGACTTCGGGATGATCGTAACCCATGGTTAGAGACACTGAGTGATGTGGCTGGGTGTCGCAAACAGTGGAGCTCGTGCACCTTCTCAATTTCTTTGCAACCTTAGACCACTGAACTTCTCCATTTTCTGTTCGACTCCATGTTTCAACTTTTCTTTCTTCACGTATTCTTCATCCAAGTGAGCAGCCAAAAGACAGCAACCAAAAGCGGCGCACGAATATGCGTGGTTAATGGTTGTACAAACGGAAAACTGAAAACTGAAAACTAAAGGCTCGGTTTGCATTTGCCAACTTGAGACATTTGTGGCGCTGTCGCGACATCCGGCTGTCTTTAAATGGCCGAGTATATGCTGCAGCAGTCCGACCGGTGCCACTCTACGGTGCTGATACTTCGTCTTTACGGCAACAGCATAAAAATAGATTGTCGGTTTTCGTACACTGCTGTCTACACAGCATTGCCCGAATCTGGTGGGGCAGCCGGACGAGCAATGCTGAGGTCAGGTGCAAAGTTTTAGGCAGCCGCGTTCGCCCACTGGAGCAAGTGATCGACCTCCATAGATTACGTTGGTTGGGACATATATTACGCATGTCATCTGATAGATTGCCACGGCGAGCGATGTTTACGGAGGCAGGTGGCTGTTGGAAAAGGTCAAGGGTGGTCAAGCTAAGACCTGGCATGATGGTATGAAAACCCTAACCAGGAGACTGGGCTCCTTTACTGAGGACCTCGAGATCATGGTCACCGATGGTTAGAGACACTGAGTGATATGACTGGGTGTCGGAAATAGTCTATATAAATTTGCTATCTTCCGCTTAAATTTTCTCTCAACAGTTCAATCTTCGTTATTCTCTTTTATCCAAATGGGCGGCCGAAAGACAGTGACCAAAACCGGTACACGAAAGTGCATGATTATTGATTGTAAAAACTGAACTGAAACAAATGTGAAGCATTAACTGCACGGATGAATTAATCAGAACAGGTGTATATCGTCTTCCGGACCTTGGTTCAAACGGACATAGATCTAGTTTGCTGAAACCGTGAAGAAAGTGACGAAAAATCACCGGAATTGTTGCTCTGGTCATTTCTTATCCTTTCGAACTATCGGGCACGTTGTTGGATCTTATTTCAGATATCTGACCCATAGGTATTCACTTTTCTCTCTCCCTTAATTACGTTTAGTCTGCTGTGCTACAGTCCGGTAATCGAGGGCCTAGGTTGTCGTATGTTTTCGACAAACAGCGTGTCCCCTCCTCATCGCAGATGTATGATTAACCTGTGTGAATTTATGCTATCTTTGTCTTTCCACAGAGCGGTTCGTCTCAGTCCACGTTCTAAAGATTGTCTCATTGCACCGAACTGGGACAAACGAACTCCAGTGTCCGTCCTTTATGAAAGACGAGCCTCAGATTTACTGACCCTAGGAGCTGAATGTATGGAAACATCGAACCAAGCAAATGATGCGGCAGATCCGGATTCTGCCGAATTCGGTTCAGTACCTCATTCATATTCGACCGTGGGAACAAGGGTTTCGACCAATCGTTGTTGTAAATCTCGCGTGAACACCAGTCGTCATCGTTTTGGTACTCGCAGGTCCACCACCACTAACGCGGTTAGTGGTGGTGGCAGCGGCGGGGTTAGTACGAAGTTACATAACACCCAGGGGGTGACTGCAGGATCGAAAGCCACCCACGCG